TGCTCCCCCTCTGGCACCCCAGCCCCACCTCCCCCTCTGGCACCCCCCCCCCTTTGACACCTCCAAAATTTGAAAAAAATTGTGATTGTTTTTCAATGTTTTTATTGACTTATACCTTTAAAAGTGCCCAGAAGCACCAAATATCATCTTTAAATTGTAAAACTTTCATGGAGAGTTAGCCACCCCTCACATTCCCCACAAAACAAAATAAAATATTCTGAATTTCATGTATTGTCTCAGACATTTTTTAAGTGCCCAGACATCATCAAATAACACCTTGATATGGTCAATGTTTCTGGGGGACAACCCCTTGCTCCCCTACTGGCACCCCACCCCACTTCACCCTCTCATCCTCTTTGACACCCCCAAAAGAATTTGAAAAAAATTCACATTTTTCTTATTGACTCATAACGCACAGGCGTACCAGATGGTTGCAAATTCGCTCCAAATACAACCAAATTTCAAAATTTTCCAGGGGGAGAACCCCCAGACCCCCCTGAATGTTCGGTTTTTTATTCTCTCAACTCTTATTCTTGTGGTGGTGGCGTACTACTTAGAAACTTACACTTTGAAAGTGCCCAGAAAGCACCAAATAGCATCTCAAAACTGTAAAATTTTCTAGGGGGAGTGGACTCCTCCTCACACCCCCCACAAAACAATTGGAACGTTTGGAAGTTGCATTTCTTAATTCCAAACCAATATAGGGAGTAACTGCCCCCCCCCTCTGTCTTACGCGATTTGATTTACGCGGCAAAAAATTGACAATTTATATTCTCTTTAGTAAGCTAAAAACCGCACCCCCCTTGGAGAAAAGTGTCTTACGGGCCTGGTCAATCATATTTGTATTATACACAGGCAAATTATATCAAGCTTGAATGAGGCTCGAAAATTACAAATAATTATGGGCTATAATGGACTATAATCAAAATGTAATTTTAATGTTCTCTATATTTTATTTCATTGATCACAAAAAGTTAATCAAAAATAACGAAGTTTTACGTGCCTTCTTACGAGCCTCGTACAGGCAAGTACATGGACCGAAAATTAACAGCAGTTAAGGGCCTCGTAATGCATAAATGGGTCGGAAAGTACGGGTTCTAACAGCCTTGTAATCACAAGTTGTTACAAGGCTTGGAAATTATGAGCAGTTATGGGGCTCGTTACGAGGCCCATACACAGTTGTACAAAGCCCATTGAGGGAACGGGGCTTGTACAACCTGGTAGGGCCCTCATGTAATTTGCCTGTGTAGTGCACTGGCACAAGTTAATGGTCATATTGTAGTGAACTGACACAAGTAAATGGTCATATTGTAGTGAAATGACACAAGTAAATGGTCATATTGTTGTGAAATGACACAAGTAAATGGTCATATTGTAGTGAAATGACACAAGTAAATGGTTATATTGTAGTGAAATGACACAAGTAAATGGTCATATTGTAGTGAAATGACACAAGTAAATGGTCATATTGTAGTGAAATGACACAAGTAAATGGTCATATTGTTGTGAAATGACACAAGTAAATGGTCATATTGTAGTGAAATGACACAAGTAAATGGTCATATTGTAGTGAAATGACACAAGTAAATGGTCATATTATAGTGAAATGACACAAGTAAATGGTCATATTGTAGTGAAATGACACAAGTAAATGGTCATATTGTTGTGAAATGACACAAGTAAATGGTCAAATTAATCAATTTCAATGTTGTTCAAAAATATGTGCTGTGCCACCAGCAGGAAGCACTAGCACCAAGTGACCATATCTAATTAAGATTCCTTGCGTATGAGATAATTATATATATAACTATTGTGATGACAGCAAAAATTCAGAGCAGGTATGTCAATCAATCCTACATATAGCAAATCTAATTAGCTCTTGATGAGAAATGTGGGTAAATATATTTTGATGTGTACAGGATATAGCTTTCAGATAAATTTAGCAGTATAATAAAATATCAAACCTTGTATGAAATTATAAAATATGTAAATGTATGTCTGGCATAATAAATTATTGTGATTTGATGTAGAAAGTAAATTATTCTTCATTGTATATTGTAATATGATATCCAATAAACAACTCAATTAAAACATCTCATGATTCACATCAAAATACGAATCATGACATAATACATCATGCTCGAACAGGATCAGGGTAAGTAAAGGCTTATATTAATTAAGATTCTACAAAAGATCAAACTAAAGCTCAGATTTCATCAGTCTACTTTAATCATCTAAACAAGGCATTAACATGACAAAATGTCACCACCTAAAACAATTTGGTCAATTTAAAGCAAGTTGGAAAATACCTTTTGACCTTGAGAAGGTCATTGAAGGTCAAAGGTCAAATCTAAAGTCAGATTTGAACTTCTGAGAACTTGTAAAGTCAAATTTGAACTTTTGAAAAGATGTAGATGATTTTGAAAAAAAAATTTGGTCAATTTGAAGCAAGTTGAAAACAGACCTTTTTGACCTTTTTTGACCTTGAGAAGGTCATTAAAGGTCAAATGTCAAATCTAAAGTCAGAATTGAATTTCTGAGAACATGTAGATGATTTTGAAAAAAAAATTAGTCAATTTGAAGCAAGTTGAAAAAGACCTTTTTGACCTTTTTTAACCTTGAGAAGGTCATTGAAGGTCAAATGTCAAATCTAAAGTCATATTTGAATTTCTGAGAACATGTAGATGATTCTGAAAAAAAATTTTAGTCAATTTGAAGCAAGATGAAAAAATACCTTTTTGACCCTTTTTGACATTGAGAAGGTCAAATGTCAAATCTAAAGTCAGATTTGAATTTCTGAAAACATGTAGATGATTTTGAAAAAAGAATTTAGTCAATTTGAAGCAAGTTGAAAAAAGACCTTTTTGACCTTTTTTGACTTTGAGAAGGTCATTGAAGGTCAAATGTCAAATCTAAAGTCAGATTTGAATTTCTGAGAACATGTTGATGATTTTGAAAAAAAAATTTAGTCAATTTGAAGCAAGTTGAAAAAAGACCTTTTTGACCTTTTTTGACTTTGAGAAGGTCATTAAAGGTCAAATGCCAAATCTAAAGTCAGATTTGAATTTCTGAGAACACGTAGATGATTTTGAAAATTTTTTTTAGTCAATTTGAAGCAAGTTGAAAACAGACCTTTTTGACCTTTTTTGACCTTGAGAAGGTCAAATGTCAAATCTTAAGTCAGATTTGAATTTCTGAGAACACGTAGATGATTTTGAAAAAAAAATTTAGTCAATTTGAAGCAAGTTGAAAACAGACCTTTTTGACCTTTTTTGACCTTGAGAATGTAATTGAAGGTCAAATGTCAAATCTAAAGTCAGATTTGAAGGTCAAATGTCAAATCTAAAGTCAAATCTAAAGTCAGATTTGAATTTCTGAGAACATGTAGATGATTTTGAAAAAAAATTTAGTCAATGTGAAGCAAGTTGAAAAAAGACCTTTTTGACCTTGAGAAGGTCATTGAAGGTCAAATGTCAAATCTAAAGTCAGATTTGATTTTCTGAGAACATGTAGATGATTTAGAAAAAAATTGAAGTCAGTCTAAACAGTATTTGTTAAGTTATAGGAAGTTGTAAGAAATTGTTACAGACGCCGGACGCCAACCTCCAACCACCAACCGCCAACCACCAACCGCCAACCACCAACCGCCGTCGCAAAAAAACGGAGACCATAACAATATGTCACCACTTTTGGTGGTGACATAACTAGAGAAACAGCAACTCCTACGAGTAGCTAATCCCACTAAACTAAACATATTTCATCAAATCACTCATTATTTTAAAAATAATATCCATTGAAGTAACAAGGAAGATAGAAGTAACAAGAAAATATGAAGAAAATGTGCAAAGAGGTATTTGAGTAATCGAAGATAACATTTTTCATGAAAATTGTGGTCCCTTACATTGAAAAGGCCTTCTGAAGCAGAGCTCTTTTGTCCAAAACATATTAGCCAATAAAATTTTGACCGAATTCTCTTCCTGGTATTTATCTAAGTTATCATAAACTACATTTTTTCATCAAAATGGTGGCCATTTTGAGTGGCTATCTTGTTTTTTATGTTGAAAATTCCCTCTTGAGCAGAAGTATACCAAAGAACCTAATGACTTCCCTATATCCCGTCCAAACTTCGTTTGTTGGTACATTTAACACTTCAAGCTCAGAAACCACAATGGACAATCCCCTAATAACAGCAAAATAACATTTGAGAAACAATGAAGAAATCCACAAAACAACAATGGCACGAATCAAAAAATGACACAATATTTGCAATAGACATTAATTTAATTGCTTTCATTTGAGTTTCATACTTCAGAAAAATTAATACTTAATGACCCATTGTTACATGACTCTTGTGTGTGAAATATATATTTTTGGATTCACCACCAAAACAGAAATATCCATTTTGTAACTTTGGTTGGAAATGAAAAACTTAAGTTTTCACAATCTGCAATTTTCAAATAAGTGACTTGAAAAATTATTTTTGTTGTGTGAAAGTACTGATATACATATTGTACATCTTTCTAGGAAATATAAAGAAAAACTGTACACTAGAATTTTGATGGATAGATGGATTGATTGATGAATAGACTGACAGACAGATGCACAGAATGAGGGCTTCAGTATATCCATATTGAATTTTGTTTGTTAGGATGATGATTATTCTTATAAATGCCATCTACAGTGCTGGGCAATATCTCACATATATTCAAAATTATGATGGATTTACTAAAATGGACTGGAAACTCATATTTGTCAGGCCAAAATAAGCAAATGCACATATATAAGGTATCATTGAACAAATCCTACTCTTTCATACTTAATCCTGTTACAGTGTTTGTTGACCATATTGCCGCTCACGAAAGACTAGAGGCTATAACAATATGTCAGCACTTCTCAATGGTGGCACAAAAATGTTTTGAAGAATAGGTTCTTATTTCATTCAACAAGTTTCTAGTATATATTAGTACATTCACAGTTATCTAAAATAAAAAAAGAATTACCTGGTAAAAGGTCTCTAAAGTTGGTGCCGTCGTGTTTCCGTATCGAGTCAAACACAACAGTCCTTGCTGGCATATTCACTCCCATTGCAAATGTCTCAGTCGCAAAAAGAATCTGAAAATAATTGTCAATTGTTTACATTTCAGTTTCTCATTTAAAGTTTTTGTCAAAATCTTTCATGAATAGATCTTTCAATACAGGAAAGTACATCACGTATATGGCCTTAAAACTACCCATAATTAATTATTCTTTGACTTTTTTCTTCAATAGGTTAAGTCCTGTCCAAACCAAAAGCATCTTCCTGAAATGTATAATTTCTATCCCCTCCCAGTACATTTTTGAACCGTGACATCCTTATCCATGAACATCAACGTAGCCTGAAATCTATTAACTAGATATAGTAACACCACTCTCTGTAAAAGTCTTTATAATCTCAAATGTAACTTTAATAGCCTTTATTAGAATTTTGAAAGTCAATGAATGTCAGTAACTTACAGACAGAAAGCATATCGTGTGATATTTATGATTTCAGATTCTCATTTTAACTAATTTACATAATATAGATGGAGCTTAGTCCATGCAAAAGTTTTCCTTAATAATGCAACTTGACGAATACCTTTACTAGGCCTCTTTGAAACAGCATCTCCACCACTTCCTTCAGAATTGGTAATATTCCACTATGGTGGATTCCTAGCCCTCTCTTCAACAGGTCACACATTCTAGTTACCTAAATTGATTAAAACAAGACATGTAGTCAATGTTGAAATGTAAGGGTTAATTGAGACATACAGGCAATGTTGAAATGTAAGGGTTAAATGAGACATATAGTCAATGTTAAAATGTATGGGTTAAATGAGGAATGTAAACATTGTTAAAATGTAAGGTTAAAATAAGACATATAGTCAATGTTGAAATGTAAGGGTAAAATGAGACATATAGTCAATGTTGAAATATAAGGGTTAAATAAGACATACAGGCAATGTTGAAATGAAAGGGTTAAATGAGACACATAATCAATGTTGAAATGTATGGGTTAAATGAGGAATGTAAACATTATTAAAATGTAAGGTTAAAATAAGACATATAGTCAATGTTGAAATGAAAGGGTAAAATGAGACATATAGTCAATGTTGAAATGTAAGGGTTAAATGAGACACATAATCAATGTTGAAATGTAAGGGTTAAATGAGACATACAGGCAATGTTGAAATGTAAGGGTTAAATGAGACACATAATCAATGTTGAAATGTATGGGTTAAATGAGGAATGTAAACATTGTTAAAATGTAAGGTTAAAATAAGACATATAGTCAATGTTGAAATGTAAGAGTAAAATGAGACATATAGTCAATGTTGAAATGTAAGGGTTAAATGAGACACATAATCAATGTTGAAATGTAAGTGTTAAATGAGACATATAGTCAATTTTATTATGTAGGAGTTAAATGGGACATGTAATCATTGCTGAAATGTAAGGGCTGAATGAGACAATGTTAAAAAGTAAGGGTTAAATGAGACAATCACATTGTCTATATAAGTGGTAAAAACCTATATTATGTCCAATTGAGAAATTTCTGTAAAACAATGACAATTGCTTTTATATTAGTTTAATGAAGTAAGCGTGACTTGTTAATATTTGTCTTTTGCATTGACATAACATTTGAATAAAAAACTGCTTGATCTCAGTGTCAATACTTCCTGGTTGATGTTGTTAAGAAAAATCTGAGAGAAAGAAGGATAAAATCATATCTTTAGAAAAATGGAGCACGAATATATAAGGGTTATGTACTGGGAGGTTTTGGATATGGGGTTTATCCAGAGGGAGATATGCATATCTACCTGAGGGACCATAGGGACCGAAGGTAGATGTGCATATCTCACGAGGGTTGAACCCAATATCCAAACCGACCGTACATAACTGCTTTATCCTACACCAAGTAGAGTTTTCAGGGGCATATCAATAGTACAAGGTGTAAAAAGCCATTTCAATAGTACAAGGTGTAAAAATAACAATATGTCACCACTTTTGGTGGTGACATAATAAACAAATCATTCATATGCAAAGTCATTTTATTGCATAACCGTAAGCGGGAAGATATGCACCGAAGCGGGAGATATGGCGGGAGATATGGAGGTTCTTGATATGGAAACCTCAAAATCAGGATACGGGATATATCTTACCAACTTATCTCCCTAAAACTCTACTTGGCATAGGATAAATGATATTATTCAAATATATAGTTTTCTTTATAAATCAAATATCTTAAAATCTAATGTCTATAATAAATCAAATGAATCAGACAAGGAAGTAGGTCCTGCAAAAATCCCTGAACATGTACCTCAAATAAAATTAGAAATACATTATAGACTGCTAAGAAATAAGGATATTGCTCAACTCAAGAAACTCAAAATGGAGGTTATGTAACTTTAAATTTTTACAAACTTGGAAAATTATATATTAAGATAACAACATTGGACAGTTTTCAATTTGGAAAGAAATTATTTGATTTTACACTGAATTAAAGGCCTTGCAAATCCTTTTATTTCATTGATTTTCAATTTTGGATGTTTGTATATTTCCAGATCTTTGTATCGTATATGTTTATGCTGTGGGTTGGCATAAGTGAGATTCACATGTTAATGAGTTATCAAACAAATGCAGGTGATCAAAGGTCAAATGAGGCTCTGATCAATTGTTTATATGATCATGAAAGAGATCATGTATTTGAGGATCAATTACATGATGCTGAAAAAGATGTACAAATAGGTACAACTGGCAAGTCTCAACAAATCTTCATCCAAGGAAAGTATGATAAAACCCATACTGAGAACTTAAAGCACTCCTCTCCTCCACAGGATTTGGACTATGATCAACAGGATTATGTGAACCATGATTCAAAATATAATACCAAAATTCCAGATTTTTGTTTGTGTATGTCATCGTGTCATTGCACAGCTAGATCTCAAAAGGATCACTGGCCTCTGGAAAACATTTTGGAATTCTTACCACACAACATTTCCAAGATATACCTAGCAAACTTTAACTTTGGAAACTTGAAAAACAACTCATTCAAACATTTTCCTGCACTAAATCAAATAACCATCAGAGAGAGTAACATAACTGAGATAGAAGTCAATGCTTTTCAACATTTGGATAAAATGGTGGAAATTAGTATCGATTTGTCTGACAATGACATCCAGTATATAGAGCCTGGAGCATTTAAACATGGAAAGGGTACATCAGAGCTGGTCATAAACTATAACTATAATCTGGGACTTCAAAATGCTCAAAACATTCTGAATGATTTTGAGAACAAAGAATTGCACAGTCTCTATATGAAGGAATGTGGTATAGTCATTGATATAATCGATGGAAAACTGTTCAAAGTACTGAAGACATCCAAGCTCAATATTTTAGATATATCTGGAAACACTATCAAAACATTGGCTGCTGATGCTTTTGAACCAATCAAATCACTACAAAAACTGACAATTTCGAATTTCATGTACACAAGCAACTTTACCTTTAATATTTTACAGAATCTAACAGACTTTAGATTATTTGGAGGAATTCAGAAATCAACAGCATTGATACCTACACTGGATTTAAGTGGCCTTCAACATTTGAAACATCTTAGACTTTACCTGTCTGATAGCACAACAATGAATATAAAAATGAGAGAGTTACCGCATCTGCGTTCTCTTAGGTTAATTGATGCTAACGATTTTGAAGGATATCGTCATCAAGTGATTCAATTACTCAAAAGTTCAAAGTCAATTGACAGCATTGGCCTTGATGGGAACAATTTGTTCAAATACACAGATCATGAGCTTTGCCACTTGTTTGAAAACAAAAGTTACGTTGAAGGTTTGAGTCTCACAAGAAACTATTTGACACATTTACCAGGCTGTCTCTTCAAGGGGATGTTCAAGTTGTTAGTACTCTTCTTATCAAAAAATAGGATAATGAACATTCAAAACGATCTTTTTAAAGACTTATATAGCCTGAGATGGTTGGACCTGTCAGACAATGCATTAATGTTTATGGATCCTGGGAACTTTGCCCATATGCCTACCTTGGAAAGGTTACATATCCAACACAATAGCTTTAACTGCAATTGTGAGCTAATTGGATTACGGGATGTACTAAACGGCAAGTTGAACAAGCCCAAATGGGCGATCGGAAGATTAATCGGATATTTTGAAAAGTGCAGTATACCCGAATCCCTGAAACACGAGTTCATACATAACTACACTATACCTTGGATTGAATGTAATTCTGGACTGGTCATTACAGTATCTTCTGCAACTGGGGGTTCCCTCATATTTTTAACAATCCTCACACTTGTGTTACTGCATCACTATCGGAAGGACATAAAATATATCAAAATGGTGCGCCAAGCAAGGAAGCATGAGGGTTATGCTCCAATTCAGGATATTCCATATGAGGATGATGCTTTTGTTAGTTACCATAGTGATAAACAGTTGTGGATCCAACGAGACATGTGCAGGGAGTTAGAAAATGGAGATGATATTAAGTTCACACTTATGTACGATGACAGGATCATGCCTGGTGGCTCATTCTTCACATCGTTAGGCAACGCTATGTATAGCTGTAGGAAAATTATACTTGTGGTGAGTCGTGGATGGGTAGAGGCTGCCCTCAACCAGTTTGAGGTGAGTACCAGAAATAAAAGAGCAAAGTGGTCAAGTATTTCAGGCCCATAGCCAGCTTTTGCCAAGGGGGTCAGTTTTTTTTAAATTCCAGGGGGTCAAAGACAAACTTATGTTTATTTTATTTCCTATTTATAAAATTTCAATGAATTATATCATCAATGTTTTCAAATTAAGTAATTGAATATGTTTGGGATTTGAAGGGTTCAGACTAGATGTGAGTAGAAATAATATTAACAACAGTTGTGAATTGTGTTTTAAAGCCTAATATGAAATGAATTATGTTTACAAAGTAAGTTTTTCAATTGAGTTAATATTTTTCTGATCTTCATCAGATGGATATGGCACTAGCGACATTGCTTGATGACCACAAGGACATGATCATTGTGCTCCTCATGGAACACATCCCTAAAGCTGAGATGTCTGACACACTGAGAATGATGGTGAAACACAACACCTGCCTCAAGTGGAGTGACAATGAGAGACAACAGGCAAAGTTCTGGAGGGACCTGAAACTGGAACTAGGGAAACATCACTTGGAAAATACTTAACTATAATGATGTGATACATAACATGTGAGATATGGAGAAAGAAAAAAGATTTGGTACAACATATAATATTAAACAGACAGTGGATCTTCAACATTCTCCTAAAATAAATGCCTCAAATAACACATTTGTTGTTAAGGGATTCATCAAAATTAAATAAGTAGGCAGTAATTGTGTAAATTTGAACCGCACACTCAAAACTAAACTCAATATATTGTGCTTGATTACAAATTCACATAAAGCTAAGCAAGGTATGTCATACTCCAGCCAATCAGAATACAGTATTTCAAATACCAAGCACCATGGCTATTTTTTGTCACTTTTCTCACAATGAAAACGGCGCCCCATGTCCAGTCAATTTCAACAAGTGTGCAATATGTGGGTAAGTAAAGGTTATGTGTAGGCGCTATTTGTATACCATGTATGCCATCTCTGAACACTTTAAATATAACACTTTTGTTGATATATACGAGTTCTATACTTCTATCTCCAACAATGACTCTTTGCTGTCAATGGCATGTCACAATTAAGCGGACATTCTTGGGTGTAAAGATATTTGTCACATTTAAGGATATTAGCAAGAGCTTTAGAGTTGTAAATTAATCAAATATATAAATCATGACTCAGTGATTACAAATAAAGCTGAGCTGAATTTATCAATAACTATAATATCCGATTCTAATTCTTAAGACTTAATTAATCCGTATTGGAGATTGAGAATTCAATCTTGTCTCACTATAGCTAATAAGGTTGGGTTATGCAACTTCTTATTCTGCAAATCATCTTGTTTTGAACTCCATAATTACTATTTTTCACATATAGCTATGTCAAATTTCAGCCACTTAGAACAATGTATTTCAAATAATCTGCATTCTTAAAATTACAACTTGGCAGTTGAGTGAAAACCTGTAAATAGTATCATAGGGAATAGCAAGTGGTTGGGGTTATAGTGTTAATCTAGTTTTGATCAAGATATGATCATTTAAAATCATTTGCCACATACCTTTAATGTGCAAACAAAAAAATATCTACATAATAGCCCAACGGGTAACATCATAAACATACCTGAGGCAAGTCTCGGTCTTCTGGCTTAAGCTTAGAGACACAGCGATGGAAAAATATATGAACCTCGCTTTTTTCACTTGCAGTGGTCAAATCTACACTCCTCAAATGGTTGGCATTTTCCTCAATTCGTTTCTTGGAGAATGTGAAAGCCACTGTCGGCATCTTATCTTTTTTCTTTAGCATGTCTATCACTGAGAGCCAAATATTCTTGTCCTAGAAAAATAATTGAGGGATATTAAAGCTATAGTATTTTTTGCATTTGCATTCTACAATCTGTAATTATATACAAACAAAGTTTCCAATTGTATATTTTGTGTGTATATAGCTTGTTGATATTATGTTAAATAAAGGAGAAAATAACAAAGCATGAACTGTTGCACAATATCTAGTCAATATCTGTTTTGTATAACATATATAGTGCTGCTTTCATATGTGCCCTTGTGGAATTACCTGCATTGGGTTGCCCCCACGTGTGCCTTTAGCCCCGTAACTCTGGGAAGACTTGCTAGCCCGCTCTTTCTTGGCATCAAGTGCCTTGTAATAACTGAAAGAAACATTAAGGGATTAAATGCTAAAATGTAAATAATGCCATTTTGTTACGCTTTTAATCCTAATTCATTGTCTAAAAAGGAATCTGATCTTATCACATATGGATGTTTTGGATTTAAGATGCAATTCCCAAATTCATTAGAACTGAACAAGGGCCTGCCAAATAATAAATCAAAAAGGTATACCATGAAATTGGTCAACATTAGGAAATAGCCAGAAATACAAATGACTGTCAAAAACATCTTAGATCTTGCAAATTGAGCCTGATTTTCATTTTTCTGTTATGAGAATGCTATAGATTCCTGGCACCTTGCAACCTGTCTTGTCTTGAACAGACAGATTATATTGTCCCTCTGTCCTGTTTTTACCTCATACGTACCCAAACTTAGAATCCACCATTGCAATAATTTCTCCAAAACTGCTAGAGTTGCAAATAATACACTTATGGGGATTGGCACTTGAAGATGCTACTTGGACAACTACTCAATTATGCAACTATATATATGAATACATAAAAAAGACTTACAAGTTATAACATTTAGATTTATAACAATACTTTAGGCTTACCCAGTTTGTTTGAATTGCCTTGTAGAGTCAAGAATAAGAAATAGTTCATTGCTTGTTTTTGTGCTGTTCCCAGTGTAGAGGTAGTGCTCCAGAGGTACAGGCCTCTTGGTAGTACTTATCACATACATTCTTTTTTTCTTGATACGCCTAAAAAACAAATGAAAGATGAGGTATAATATTGAACTCAGTCTTAGACATTCCTGGATCTACATGTATATACCCATAGGTGGCAGATTTGTATATACGAGGGGTGATCAATAAGTAATGGACATACATGTTGATATATCCTTATTTCCGTGAAGGAGGTACAGGTACCCCGGGACTGACATTTACGTTACATATTCAGTTTTTAGCCAGGTTGGCAAATTTCAGTTAGATTTAAACTTTTTTTTATATGCAACAAGTGTTGTGTTGTTTGAAATATTTTGCTGACTGGTAACGCACAAACAGTAAGTATTGTGATGTCAGAGTGTTGTATGGTCGGGGTTTACAGGTCAATTTGAGAACATTGTGAAAGAAGGAGTTGGTGAGAGAAGGAAACACCTTACTCCATATGGAAAATGCCCCTCCCCACAGATCTCAAAATGTTCAGAAAACAATATCCCTGGACCTCAAAATTGAGCCCTTGGCCAATGCACCATATTGTCCAGATCTGCCCACATGTGACTTATTTATTCCTATACTACTTATTTCTATAGAGAAGGGACGCAGGTTTATTGACATTGATGAAATAAAACAACCTGTGCAACTGCATCTTGTTACCATGTCAGAGAATGGATTCAGCCTTGTCTCACAATCTTGAGTTAAGAGGATGAGGAATTGTGTACATTAGCACTTGGTGGAACCTATGTAGAGGGCCCTGTAGAATGAATGTGGCATGAATACCACATAGTGATGATAAAATATTCAAAATCAAATATGGCATAACAAAATGTGGTAATTCATGACCATAATGGTTTGTTATGTTCAGCCTGCATTCAACTGCGTTGCATGTTAAACAAGCTAAAATTGCTTCAGAATGTTTGACTTAATGTCGGTCCCTGGGTACCTATACCTCCTTCACGACAATAAAGATATATCAAAATATATTATATGTTTTGTTTTCAAATCTTCAGAGTTGATAGATAATTGAATGATGTATCACTGGTAAGAAAATCGAAGGTATTGGTCAATAAAAAGCATCCGTGTAAAAAAGCGTCCATTACTTATTGATCACCCCTCGTACCCATAGGTGGCAGATTTTGGTGAACTATTTATTTTTCATATCCCAAGACTGCTAAGTACAGTATGCCATCTATGATAACACTTGAACACATATCCAATGATATCAATATTAAAATGCTGGTTAATATGAATATTTTGCTTTGAAGCATATTCTCTGAATTAAAATTCCTTCATGAATGATGCATATCATAACTTAGAATGTGAAATAATATTAGTTTCCCATACCTGGAGGAAATAAATTTATCCTCTCAATGTTATGATATCCTTCCCTGGTATCTTACCAAATATGGGATAAATATTGCCTAACAGAAAGCATTTGAATGAAAACTCACTTACCCTACCCAGTCAGCGAACTCCATGGTGTTGGGTACAGTTGCACTTAACATGATGATATTGACATGCTGGGGCAACATAATAAGCACCTCCTCCCATACAACACCTCTCTAGAAACATATAAAACATTTCTGGAATATCAGATATAAATGTACGAAAACTGAAATAATTACTGAAAATAAAGTATGCAATATGTGAAACACCTCGTGTCCTCGTAATAGCTAAGTGAAACATAATATGTATAGATTTGTTCATACATAAGGTGGAAAAATAAAAATAGGACACCGCATTATATATTTTATATTCAAAAGAGTAAATATGCACCTTTAAGTCAGAAATTTAGGGAGTGTAATGCTTAAACACATGTGTAAATTTTAAAACAAAATGATGCAGGTCTTCATTATTTTCTAATTGACACAAGACAAGTGGTTCATTACTACCAAAACAGTTTCTGAAATAGCAGTCATTTTTGAATTTCCATTATCTTGGGCAAAATTGAATTCACCATTTGTTATAATGAACAAACTTTTAATGAAAAGTGTTAGATATGCAAATGTTTGACAATAAATCTTACCTCAGAGTCATTAATATAATGCACCTCATCAAATATCACCCACTCTAAATCTCTGATCACATCTGATCCATTGTACAGCATAGATCTACAATGAAGGGGATATTGTACAGCATAGATCCAGAAATACATAAATACAATAACATCTTGTAAAATAGAGATCTATGAATACAAAGAATAGGATTAAATCTATAAGTACACAAATACAATGACATATTGTAAGCATAGACCTGAAAATACAATGAATGGAATATTGTACAGCTTTGGTGTAGACTGGGTGGTTTTGGGGTTTCTGAGGTTGGCAACTTTATACATAAAGTCCTAAGAAACTGATAATTGGGAAAATAACTACCTTAATATTTCTGTTGTCATAATGAGACAAGCTGCCTCTGGATGAATCTGTACATCACCAGTTATCAACCCAACATCTCCAAATGTCACTTTGAAGTCACGGAACTTCTGATTGGATAAGGCCTTGATGGGGGAGGTATAAATTGTCCTGGAAAACAAATCACATAATTTATCACTTGATTGGCATTCAGCGAAGTCAGACCTTTCGACTACATTCTAATACTGTATTTTTATATGAACAACTGACTTTACTTCTCAAGAAAAACTCTGAAAACTTTATGGTTACAATATAGTCATGGTCAAAGAAAAAACTCTCAAATCATTTGCCATACAGTACCATACCATATTATACATGGTCCTTTATACAATAATGTAATATACATAGTTCCATTGTTAGGCTATTTGGTTGAGTACCACTTCATTATACTTGAGTTATGTTTAAATTGCTTTGGTAACATGGACAGTGGATATCTATATATGGATATGGATGTGTAACAACTTATTTTTCAGATTTGACAACCTTACATACCTTGTCATGTGTTTCATAGAGAGCGCAATGGCATATTCCGCTACAACAGTCTTTCCAGCTGAAGTGTGTGCCGCCACAAACACACTATCATGATTCTCTAAGCATAGAATTGCCTGTTTTTGGAACACATCAAGCTCAAAAGGCCACTGAAATATTTAAAAAATGAATCAATAAGGCATTTTTACGAAGAGCGCGTATTGAATATTTATCATGCACTATTATTCTACATTTCTGGGCAATTTTATTACTAAATTTCATGGATGAGCATTCTATTTTGTGTTTATTTCCCCCTATAACTTTGCTTCATTGTTCAAAGTATGAATTCACTCTAAAATGAATTGTGAAAAATACATCTAATGCTCATTATCTTGTTGACGTGTGCTCTCATGGAAATCAGACTATTTTAGTATGTGCTTCAAAAAGTAAGTATTAAAATGGCAGTGCGTGAACATGCATTACAAATATCAAGTAAATACATTATAAAACTATCAAGTGACTTTTTTGAAACTTTATAAACTTATTGGCTTAGTGTTCAATTCACCAATCTGTAATGTGAAAACCTAAGTGGAACATTTTTAGCAGAGCAAAAGGCATTCCAATTACACAACTTTTGACATATCCTAATTAAAATCAAGAATTTTACCTTGTATGCCATATCAGGTATGCGTTTATGGAAATCATCTACAGGGGTGCTGATATCAACTGGAATGACCCATTCTTCCTTTGGCTCTTGCTTCTTTCTCTCTACTGTTGTTGGTGTATCACCCTGTAAATTCCAATGAGACATGGCATTTCATAATTTTAAGATATTTTAATATGGTTGGGAGGAGGACGTTTTACTGGAGGGAGGAAATTAAAATCCCAAAATAAAATAATTCTGTTTTCCTACAACTGATACTTGCATGGATACTTGACACATCCTTTATTTTGCATCAGTTAATTCCCTGTTTGACATTTGTGATATATTTGGATCATTGGAGTACTGTATCTGTTTTACCTTAACAAGTTCATCAATCTCTGCATCAGCAACATTATCTCCACTCATCTTCTTATCATCTTCTTCATCATTTATCTCATCTTCTTCATCACTTTCTCCACTAAACTCCAGATCATCGAGTGCAAGGATATCAGCAATATTTAGCTCAGTAGGGACCTCTACTGGTGCTGAAGGTATTTCAACTGGCTTGGGAGTTCTTGCGAATTCAACACCAGAAGCAAAACCTGGTGGAGTGCTGAGAAGGTCTAAAAATAGATTATGGTGTTGTGTTAATTATGTTCTTACAATTAAAATACAGTGGAATAGAGTGAATACATGTCATAAGGAAAAAGTAAACAATACAAATTACACAAAATTGACAGATCATTACTAGTACATGTACTTGTTCTTCATTGAACTTGGTAGATTTACATTGAAGACTTGCAATATAATTTTGCTATACTCAATGTGAACTGTTACTACCTTTGAAATCCAAGAGTTCGTCATCTTGAACAGTTGTAAGCTGCTCAATATCTGGTTCAGTAAGACCACCTGAAAGAATATTTTAAAAATTAGTACCGTGGGTACTGGGCTCACATGGTGTTGCTCAAAAGTGAAGTGAATGATGGCTAAAATAACAGAAAATAAAACAAGGCACAGACGTGAACAATATTGTACCTAAAACACAGCATTGTGGTCTTGTTGACCAAGAAAGCAAGATGGCCGCAGAAAAGTTAATCAGCTCTAGAACTTATCACTGTGTAACATATGTAAAAATTTGAACGGTTTGGCTGGAAACCTGTAGACAAGCCTCGATAGACAATATTTTAGGATGGAAAATCTAAAATGGCAGCCTTAACATTTACCCAGAATGCCCAAAAACTAATCAGTTCTAAACTTTCATACATAGAAAGATCCCTGAAAATTTCAGATGAATCCTTCAAAAGGTTTGGCTGGAAACCTGTAGACAAGTCTTGAAAGTAAAGATTTTAGGACGGAAAATCCAAAATGGCCACCTTAAAATTTACCCAGAATGCCCAAAAACTAATCAGTTCTTGACGTTGATATGTAGAAACATCCCTGAAAATTTCAGATGAATCCCTCAAATGATTTGGCTGAAAACCTGTAGACAAGTCTTGAAAGTAAAGATTGTAGGACGGAAAATCCAAAATGGCCACCTTAAAATTTACCCAGAATGCCCAAAAACTAATCAGTTCTTGACGTTGATATGTAGAAACATCCCTGAAAATTTCAGATGAATCCCTCAAATGGTTTGGCTGAAAACCTGTAGACAAGTCTTGAAAGTAAAGATTGTAGGACGGAAAATCCAAAATGGCCACCTTAAAATTTACCCAGAATGCCCAAAAACTAATCAGTTCTTGACGTTGATATGTAGAAACATCCCTGAAAATTTCAGATGAATTCCTCAAATGGTTTGGCTGGAAACCTGTAGACAAGTCTTGAAAGTGAAGATTTTAGGACGGAAAATCCAAAATGGCCACCTTAAGATTTACCCAGAATGCCCAAAAACTAATCAGTTCTTGACGTTCATATGTAGAAACATCCCTGAAAATTTCAGATGAATCCCTCAAATGGTTTGGCTGGAAACCTGTAGACAAGCTGAAAAGTGAGACGCCGCCCGCCTGCCGCCCGCCCGCCAAGCTGACTACAATATCGTACCTTTTGTTAGGTACGATAAAAACATGAAGTTTAGTATCAGAAAAATAGTTGCCATAAGAATATGTCATAACATTTTACAGTAATTCTGAAAATAGATGTAATGTAGTTACCAGGCCAAAATGGGAAATTTGTTGAACTTCCCTTCACTCCTTGATCAGGAGGGCCTGGTGCACGCTTCAATGATAATGAATTCTTGGCTGTATCGCTCATATTCAGTACAGCTTCCTGTAATTAAGACAGCAATAAAATTAACCAAAACCTTTTGATATTTCATAATTTCACCATAAATTGAAACTACACGTACATTTTGGTTGAAAACGTTGGTCACAAGGAACTTATAATGTCAAAGTTCGTCAAGTTTAAACAAGATATTAACATTCAAAATTTAAACACCTGCCATTTGTTCCAGATGCCGACCACTGAATGCCGACTGCTGAACACCATCCAAACTTGATAAACATACTTTATACCAATATTGAAATGGAAAAAAGACCTCATGGGAGTGGAATTTGGACATCGCTACAGTTTGAAATGATACATTCTTGCGTTTAATCAAAGTTTTAGGTATAGTCTATAATGAATAATAAGTGATTGGTCAAATTAATAGAAACATCTTCATGAGAGAAAAAGCCCACAGAGGAGAAGTATTATGTAGAGTATGTACGACATCTACCTCTTTATATCCTATTAGTTTGCCAGATGTAGGGTGTCTGTCTACAGATATGTTTGTTTGTGGGGCCGTTTCTTCAATATGATACAATCTGGAGGGCACAGCTTCTCTGGGCCAAAACCTGAAATCCAATTCAGATAATATATGAGGACCCCTGAACATAAGAGCACCACCCCAACAAAACATAAGGTCAATATCAGTTCATTGATATAATGCTGAGGTGACCCCCAAAACATACAAGAACAGCTACTGGACCTACTGGACAAATGAAATACAAAAAGAGAGCACTGATATACTTCCGCTATTGAAGAAAGATTAATACCTCTGAGCTCTGTTCAGGTCATGTATTGGGAGACTTTCTGGCTTTGTTAGGAATTCTTCAAGTTTCTTGCGATCGTTGGGCATCACTGGAGGTAACCCAACTGGTAACTTTGATGAAATACATTAAAACATTAATTCATAATCCTGTGCAGTCTAAAGAAATATGAGCAATATAAATATTTGTCTCATATACAAAATTAATGTAAATATATGTAGGAGATTATCTGTATTTCCACAAGTTAAAGTATTTCTTTGCATCAGTCTGTACAGAACAGTGATCTCCCCAGGATTTTTATCTCAGGGGGGTGCAAAATTCTCATTTTCACAATTCAGACAAAAATTTGTCAAAATATGCCAATTTTTCATGATTTTTCTCATTTTCAAGTGGGTGCAAATAGATTTTCAGGTAGGTGCAAGCCTATTTTCAAAAACCTCAGGAGGGTGCTGCACCCACTTGCTTTAATGCTGGGGAGATCACTGGAGACTTTATTAAACATAAACTATTTTTCTGTGCTGATTACATTATTATTGTATTACAGCAAACAAGTTTTCCAACATATCTAAGACACATTATTTCTGAAATTGCGAAGAAAACAAGAATATTTGACTTACTGTACTCATTAGCCACTGCCTGTTCTTGCCTTGTGAAGGAACAACTTCCATATGTCCATCAACTCCCATCTCTAACAGGTCAAAGTCCACGATGGCCTGCTTAGGATCATCTCCTTGCTTCATATCATCCATCTTTTTCCCCAGTTTTTCAGTCATCTTGTAGCATAAGCCAAAATGGAGTCAAAATTTTGGTAAATTCGAACTGAAAGTAGAAAATACACGACTTATAGAAGATTTTGGATTGACCAATTCCACTTCATCTGAGGTTCACATATTGAATACCAACTTTGGAAGGGGACTTGGACTGGGACTCTAAATATCAGAATGTTCCTATACTGTATCAACCTGTCAAATTTCAATGTGTTTCCATACCAACCAATGTATATAATGCAGTAATCTCCCTAGCATTAAAGCAAGTGAGCACAGCACCCACTTGAGATTTTAAAAACAGTATGAAATTTGAAGAAAATCTGTAAAGTGGTTTTCCTGAAATCATGATGACAAGATTTATCTAAAAACTTCCAAGATGGCCACCAGAATGCAAGATGGCTGCCGAAAAGTTAATCAGCTCTAGAACTTCTTATCATGTAACATGTGTGGAAATTTGAAGTAAATCCGTTAAGTGGTTTTCCTGATATTGCAATGACAAGATTTATCTAAAAACTTCCAAGATGGCCACCAGAATGCAAGATAACGGCCGGAAAGTTTATCAGCTCTAGAACTTCTTATCATGTGCATGGGCGTAGCGCCCGGTACGCTGGGTACGCACAGGCGTACCAGATGATTGCAAATTCGCTCCAAATACAACCTGATTTCAAAATTTTCCTGCCCCCCCCCTAATGCTTGTGTTTTGATTCACTCAACCCTTGTTCCTGTGGTGGTGGCGTACTACTTAGAAAAATAGTGCTACGCCCATGATGTAATATGTGTGAAAATCTGAAGCAAATCCCTTCAGTGGTTTTCCTGGAATCGTGATGACAAGATTTATCTAAAAACTACCAAGATGGCCACCAGAATGCAAGATGGCCACCAAAAAGTTAATCAGCTCTAGAACTTCTTACAATGTGTGACAATTTGAAGTAAATCAATTAAGTGGTTTTCCCGGAATTGTGATGACAAGATAGTGAGGCGCCGCCTGCCCGTCAAGCTGACGACAATATCGTACCTTTTTAGCTACAATAAAAATATGGATTCAAACAATCTCAGCTTCCTGACATGTGTAAACCAATATTATTTCACAAATGTGAAGTAACATACATGTATTATCAAGATCTGAGCATTGCAATAACGAAAAGTCAAACTTTTCTGACACTCTAATACCAGATTTTGTTGTCGCGATGTGGCATAATCAAACATCAATGCATCAGCAATTTTCAGGACTAAACATCAATGCACATGGAGATGTACATTGGGAAAATGTCAGATAAAAATATAGACAAGCTAAAACATTTTGAAAGTGAAAGCATATCAGAGAACATTGCAAAATGATCTAAGAATAAGAAAGGACATTTGCATGAAATTGAAATGAAAAGGTGATTTTTAGCAGAATTGACTTTTTAATATCGAGATAACACCAGTACCAGATCCTAAAACTTTATAATCAATGAAGCCCATATGGGTCAAATAAAACATAATTTGCATGAAACAAAAGTGGTATGCGGAAGGGTAAATCTAAGGTTAAAGGCAGATTAACCCTTAGGTTTCTCCCCTGGACAATCAGTGATATCCCATTATAATTACTTATAATATATTACATACCTTAGATATATCTTGAGACCAACTTCTGGGTATAGTATTGCTGATACATTGAGAAAATCAACAGAACAACCAACTGTCAGACCACAACTGACTGAGTTTGATCGCCACAATTGAGGAAAACTCTTTCAAATGACACGCGCACACGACCATCGGCAAACTCTGCACGTGCCTTGAGCCAGGCAGCCAATCAGATTCAAAGCCGGTTTTTAATTCCTTTTTGAACTGTCATTCATGAAGTTGCACTGGTCACGTAACCATACTGATAAACAAATTTAAGACCAATCAGATAAGATATGGATTTCCCCAGTTTATTCAAGTTTCAGATAATTAATTTCGAAGAAAATAATTCGACCGGTCAGCACAATCATAAAATTAGCACATGATAAAGAGTCGGAGGGCTTCTTTGTTGGTAAGTAGATCGATGAATATGTGATAAAGCTCAACATGTAAAAAAGTCCAAGGGGTCTTGTTTGTGCTTTCCTATAGCCACGTCCCTCTCTAGCGATGAATTTTGGCGTATTTCTTCCTCTTGACTTGGAATAAAAAGAAACAGAAAAATCAAAAAAAGTAAAAATGAACTTCCGGTTATACTGTACCAATTATTTCTGTTCAACTGTTTACATGAGGCGACAGACACCACCGGAAATCGTAGAATATTTGCAGTTTCAACGAAACAATCAACTACTAATGAAAACTTTACCTTATGTAAGTAGTAATATCATGTTTCATTCGATGAATGAAAACCTTCGCCGAGGTCTGCTCAATTACGTTCATCTGACTCTTCAAGGTGGAGGAAAGAAAAGTTAATTTGAAAATGGAACTTTGAGTTTGAGTGTCGCTTTAACTTGAATGTAAGCATACAGGGGCGTCGAACCATATTCGAATAAAAGGATGCGATTTCCAGAATATATATTTTTTTCGGTAAGTGATTAATGGCCGAAGGCCGCGCATCTGGGGGCCAGGGGGGAGGGTCTGAGGGCAGAGCTACCGATCCTGAGTCCCGTCCCTCATTGGCTGCTCATGAGAAAAATGAAATAAGGTCACATGATACTCAACAGGAATTGACAAAACAGGAAGTGACAAAAACATGCTTGATTTCAACATTTTTTTGAACCAAGATGTCAGAGTTCTGTTCTGACCTCAGTTGTGACTAGTTCCACATTACCTTATTCTTCTTCCACAGTGTGGCCTGGTTAAGCTATCATCAAGCCCTGTTTGTTCTATTGCTTTTTACGCTATCCCATGATTGAACTTAGTATGTACTGGAGTCTTAGTTCATATGTCCGTCTGCATCAGCTTTTATTTAGTCTTTTCTAAGAGCAATCTTTTGAAAAAGATCCTTTGGTAAAAACGGCCATTTTGTTTTTCGCTAAAGCGAGAAATTGATCAACCTCAACAGATGTTTAAAAAATGGCAGACCAAATGATTTCAAGTTTAGTCAGGTCGAAAGCATTCAATATCTCTCACATAGGACAGTGTTCGGTTCAGTCTTAATTGATCAAATATTCTCATTACAATTTTTGAAATAGCTTTTAAATTTTTTTTCCTCAAGGACAAACTTTTTTATTAGTCCCTGGTGGTCTAGATAGAATCACTTCTAGCCAAGTAATTTGGCTAGAGACTTGAGTAAGTTCCACATATCAATTGTATGTCATCAATTGAATCATGGGGTTTTCCCTCCTCTTACAATGTACAATATTTTGAAAATTGTCTGAAACAAAAATGGCGGTCATATAAAGGAAAATAGATCACTTTTCAATTCAGTTTTTTTTTCTTTTTTTTCTTTTTCAACAAATGATATCAAATTTTCAAAGATTGTATCATTTAGAGCAATATATGAGGCACATTTTCTGAAAAATTCAAATGATTCTGTTCAGTGACCTTTCTTAAGCTCCTACTTTTAGCTATCTATCAGTCACATTTTCAGAGTGCTGAAAAAGTTATTTCATCATGTTTAGGGTCATTCTGACCATGGCCATTATGGTCCTGGTCATGTAAATGCTATGTGGAACTAGTTAAACTGACTGGAGGTCAAAACAGAACTCTGATATCTCGGTTCAAAAATGTTTGAAATCCAGCATGGTTTTGTCACTTCCTGTTTTGTCATTTCCTGTTAACTACTATGGCACCTTAAGGTCAGGGTGCACTTTGATGAATGTGTTGTATCATGGGCTTTCAATTTTCCAATTTCGCGGTTCGCTCTTTGAATCTGAACGTTCGCAAATATGGAGCAGATATGTACTCAAAAAGGACTAAATTTGATTGGTCAATATTTTCCCACGATGCATTTCGCGTAGCTATTTGCGTGTACTAAATCAAACGTATTACGCTATTTTGTTTTTACACCCGCATGCTAAATAAAACAATGACACCATTGGAAGTATGCTTCTTTGTCATTGCTTTAATAGTCAGTATTCCGAGTTTAATCAATAAAATATTAAGAGATCAATTGTTTCTGATAATTTTTTTGTGCTCTCGTACGGAAATATGAACAAATATATCGCTTGAAAAATAGGTGTGAAAATCCCCATGTTAACCTATGGGGGAAAACAAGGAAGTATAAATTTGTTCCTCCGCGAACTGCATCATGGGAAATATTTTGATCTTATAAGGAAAGATTTTCGCGTCTCGTCTTTTGAAGAGGGAACAAGGATCTGCTCAATTGAATGCCCATGGCTGTATGAAGAAACTTCTTGCAATCTATTCCTCTGTAAGGTGCTGCCACCTATTTCTCTGAACCAGGGTAAGTGTATCAGATGATCATCAAGTGCTGACATCTTTTAATCCATATAAAGTTATATAAAACTTTGTGGCTGAACATTATTGAATTTCATTATTTTTTACATCAAGTTGAAAATGGTAGCTTCCTTTGAGTTAAAGATAATTCTTTGATCTTTCTTGCCTTTCTCAATCACATTTCCAGTCAATCAAAATCAAACTACCTTTCCAATATAATATTCACCGAATGTTATGCTTTCCTAAGATTCTAGGCATTTATTATCGTACCCCTGGGTACTGTACAGATCAGTTTGTTTGGTTAATAAAAACACAGAATTAGATCCTGTGCTAAGGGCTGATGTGAAAAAGTCAGTCTACCCCAGTGGGGATTGAACCCATGACCCCTTGCTTTCCAAGCAATCGCTCTTTCATAACCAATCTCCCACGACGGCTTCTTTTGGGGTATATTGTATATTTATACAAATCTCATATTAAATGCTTAATGTATTAGGCTCTCAGGACTCCAGGATATTCAGATCAAGAAATACTTTTGAAATAATATTCTGGAAACATTGACTATTGGATTTAAACACTTCATATATCATCACATCATGTTAAGCATTATGCAGTATTTATCTTTCATGATATTACCTCTTGTGCCTAATGAGGACTGGGTCCCAGGGTTCTTTCAAGAATATCTTTTGACTG